CACAGGTCCACCTCTGTTAGTGGGATCTGAGAGCAGACACAGACTGCTGGTCACTACATGAGCTACAGAGTTCTACTAGTTAGTTACAATGGTATTTTGCTGGAGGCCTTCTTATCTTCTGAACAAATAGGTACACTAAACCAAATGTGGCAGGCCTATTCCTATGCTTTAAGGCTCAGTAAAGATAACCTACTTGCCTAGCAGTATGTGGCTATAAACTAATTAAAACAAGGTACAGTATCAATGCATTCTAGATTACTCCATAAAGCTTCTTAACTGTATTACAGACCTTCCCCTAGCTATCAAATATGGGAAACTATCCTTCTGCCCATTCCCATATGCAGACTTAGTAAGTAGTAGTGTGGCACAGTAGGAAGGGCATTCATTGGCTTTGGAGGCATTCATGTCACAGTCTGAACTGCAGACCACCACTTATTAGATGGACAACCTTGGGAACGTTACTTCAGTTTCTTCATCTGTAAAATAGAGTACCCACCTCATTAGGGTTCTTGTGAGAATTAAAACCATGCATGTATGACTCCTAGAACAGTAGGCACTCATTAAATGGATACTATTATTAATATTATTCAGATTTAGCTTTGGTAAAGAGGAAAAAAAAAAAAAAATGCAAACATTACTGGATTTAGCCTAAAGATAAAAATAAAAGATTAACACAGAAAACATTTAAAAATTATAATACCAAAAAAAAAGGAGGGGATATTTCTTTTAATATATTCCTATCTAAGACAAAATAGCTAAAGACACAGGTCATTTTCAGATTGCCACAGGCCTTTACCAAATTTAGTTCCTTCGAAGAACCCACTGCTCTTTGTTGTTGTTAATTCTCACCCAAGGATATTTTTTCCATTGATTTGGAGGGTGGGGGAGACAACAATGGGAGAGAAATATATCAACTGGTTGCCTCCTGCAAGCACCCTGACTGGGGCCGGGGATAAGACCTGCCACCAGGTACATGCCCTTGACTAGGAATAGAACCCATGACCCTTCAGTGCACGAGCCCACGCTCAAACCACTCAATCACCAAAGGCAAGGGCTGCCCTCATTTTCTTAACCAAACTGGCTGCCCGAAAACAGTAACTAGACTCCCTAGACGTGTCAGCAGCCCTGAGAGAAATTACACTCTGAAGTCTTTCCATATAAATAGAGAGAACATTCTGTGTTCATAACAGACTGCAAAATTGTTCTATTATGTCAGAACTATTTGGGCACCTGATTTCAAACTCATTTATCTTTACTTATCAGAAGGGTAGGCAATTTCCATCTAAAAGGCTAGACTTTTAATGGAGTGGAGGTACACACACAAAAAAAACACCCTGAAAACAATATTTTCCTGTACACAGACAGTTTTCTGTGGAGAGGCTCTATAAGTTTTCATCAAACTATCAAAATTGTTTGTTATGGCCCTGGCTGGTCTGGCCCAGCAGTTGGAGCACCAACCTGTGGACCAGAGAGTCTTGGGTTCGGTTCCCGCTAGGGGCACGTACCAAAAAAAAAAAAAACTGTTTGTTACCCAGAAAAAGTTAAGAATCATTCTTAAGATTCTCAACAGAGCCCCTTAGACCCTCAGACTGGGAAGCTGGGGTGATCATATCTCTAGGCAAGTATTCCGAAGTGCCAATTTCATAAACTATTCATACTGGATTATGTTATGAAAACTCAAAGCATATTTCTCCTTTGCCATTAACATTTCTCATATCAGTGTTTATCTTCTTTCATCCCCCACCATCCCTGCCCACCCTTGCCTCTTTGCAATCATACAAGAAATGGCTTTATGGGCCTCCATGCAATACTGATGCCTACCTTAAGTAGGTTCCAGTTTCTACTCAAATCCATTATTGTTAACATTTCCCTTCATTTCTGATTTGTCACTTGAACACTAAGTACAAATAAAGGACACCTTGTCATGTGAATCCACTTCTAGCATTTTTTTTTAATTTATTTTTTTATTTTATTTTATTTTGTGTGTGTGTGTTATGTGCCCCTAACGGGAACCGAACCCGGGACTCTCTGGTCCGCAGGCCAATGCTCAACCGCTGAGCCAAATTGGCTAGGGCTCCTTCTAGCATTTTTACAAATTTAAAACATTGGCTGAATTTATTAATTCAATTCAAACACAACTGCACTTGAATATTTTGAGGAAGTGGAGATTTAATCAAGCCATAGAAGCCCTTGGCCAAGCAGCTCAGTTGGTTAAAGCATCATCCGGATACATCAAGGTTGCAGGTTCAATTCCAGTCAGGGCACATACAAGAATCAACCAATGAGTCCATGTTTCTCCCTCCCTCTCTCCCTCCCTTCCTCTCTAAATAAAAAATAAATAATTTTTTTTTTTTTTTTTTTTTATCCTCACCCAAGGACATTTTTCCATTTTTTGTTCAGATAGAGTGGAAGGAAGAGAGAGAAAGAGAGAAAGAGAGAGAGAGAGAGAGAGAGAAACATCGATATGAAAGGGACACATTGAGTGGTTGCCACCCACACACGATCCAACCAGGGCTGGGGACAAACTGCAACCGAGGTACGTGCCCTTAGCGGGAACCGAATCCAGGTCTCTCTGGACCGCAGGCCGACGCTCTAACTGCTGAGCCAAACCGGCCAGGGCAAAAAATAAATAATTTTTAAAGCTATAGAAAGAGCAACTCCAGCTCTGTGCTCGAGTCTTGATGCTTCAAGGTATATCAATTTATCACACGATGACCACTATTGTCAAATACAAATTTACACACTCCCTTAGGGTAGTGCAGCAAAAATGCTGTTTTAATTCACTTTTAACCAAATGCCCATTCCCACTGATAAATTTCACCATTGGTATGTTCTAATGAAATCTGTAACCTGTATTTCATTTACTATACAAACTTTTAGATTTTAGCTATTGCAATCTTTCAGTGTGTAAAGCAAAGAGAAGATAACAGGGTTGTGAAATACATCAAGAAAATTACTTTTAGCTTCAATGACATGAAGCAAAGTAAAGTCGCACAGAACCATTGGAAAATACATCTTAAATGTATCCCCTTTAACAACTGCTGCAGTATTAGTAACTACTTTTATGTTGCAACCAACTCAGAGCTTTTATTAAGTCCTTCCTTCATGAAATGTACTGAGAAAAAGCATACTTGAAACACGTAAGTCACAGCTGTGTGTCCAAATAATATCACCAAATCCTCTAACGACTGTACATTCCTTACTTTTTATCACTTTGTACATCAAGAACACATACTATGGACTTCCTTTCATTTGTTTAATTGCCAAAGCAGCTCAGAGATGCAGCAAAATAACTTACTTGGTGGCACTGTATAAAAATGTACAATCCTAACCAAGTATGGGCAATCAAGACAAAAAAAAAAAGACAAATTAGAAAGAAATGTAAACTCATAAAGCATTAAGTACGTTGAAGAGATCCAGCACTGAACGCTACCTTAAAGTAGGCAAATTAGCCAACCCTTTTTCCCCCAAAGGAAAACAACTAGGGATATTCATCAAAATTAACCAGATTTTCCATGAACATCAAACAGTAAGGTATCATACTAAGCATTCTCATCAGTGAACAATTCTTAATTGAACAGAATCATGCAGGATAAAAACATTATGAAATCAGTACACACATCACACTGGAACGGAATTTATCTTTACTCTGAGCCACACTGCCTTAACTGAAGAAAATGTAGACTAACAATATTTAAATAAGAGAAAATGACACTTGACAAAAACCAAAAGGATGACCCGAAATAACTCTAGAAGGAAGATAACTTTCCCTTCTCAAAGTAATCGATACAGACGAGAATCAAACTACACTGTGAAATAATCTGTAGACCTCACAGCAGTGAGTTTCTTATTTGCTCAAACATCCTACTCATTCCAAAAGTCAAAACACACGATGACAAACACAAAAACACAACACATCTAACGTCCAATGATTATTAAGACTTACACAAGTATAGCGGCTGGGGGAGTGCATGATGAAATGTTATTCTCAGGTAGGTAACACCTTTCTAAATCTCCGTGGAATTCATGTACTCAACGTTTTACCTTCAGCGACTAGTTTTTGACTCAAATACCTCGTCACCAAATCTTTTCAATCAAAGCTGCCCCAAAACACTACAATCGAGCAAATAACACAATCTAATTAAACACAACCAATACCAGACTTTATACCAGGAGCTCTGGTCCCCTCTAGACATCAGGCCTATGAAAAATAAATTAAAGCCCTTTAAAAATATTCAGCATAACAAGCCTTCCAAGAATTAAGATTTGGCGGGGGGGAGGGGGGATATGTTGAAGGATAACGTCAGTTAACTTCCTCTTCCTTTAAAAAGGTCAAAGACAGGGAAGCGTCCGGTGTAACATTTCCTCTTTAGATCACGTTCCACCACAAACCACATCACAACTCCCCCGATCACTAAAAAAATTAGCCAGGGGGAATGCCTTCTGTGCATTTTCACCGTAGATTTTAAATCCAACTTACCTCAGAAACGAGCTGATCAGTTTCAAACAGGAAATGTACCAATAAAGTTTAATATATATCAATAATAATTAGGGGAGCCCACTATGCCCCGCTGCAGGGGGAGCTGAAGGGAGATGAGGAGGAGGGTGTAGTCCTCACAACAATCAGAGCAAAGCTTTGCCTGCAGGGTTGGTCCCAGGCACCAGCAAATTCTGCCTAATAAAGGGCTGGGGGTGGGAGGATTTTAGGGGAGGAGTGGTGAAAAGGGGGAAGGCTCCCCCAGCTCTAAAAAGGAAAGGCTGCAGAAGCAAGGCCGAGTAGAGCTAGTTTTCACAGTATTGCAGAAGGTCCCGGGGTCCCCCGCAATGCTGCTGCTGGGGCACCTCAAAAGCTCCAGCCAAGCCCGGTGTGGGGGCTTAAGGAACAGCCTCTCTTCCCTGGCTAGGCTGTGGCGGCCAGCAGGAGCGTCCCCGATGGGGCCACAGCACCCTGCTCTGCGGCGAAAAGACCCGAAGGGTCGGCAGGGAGGTGAAAAGGATACTGTTGGGGCGCCTGGGTCTGGAGGGCCCTGATGTTCGGGTGAGGAGGGGCTGCTACCGCCGCCGCCGCCGCCGCCGCTGCTGCTGCCGCCGCCGCCGCCGCCGCCGCCGGGTGAGGAGGCGGTACCGCTGCCGCCGCCGCCGCCGCTCCGGTGCCGGGTCCGGTTCCTGCTGCAGCCGCTGAGCCTGATTTCAGAGCCGGTTTCTGCGGTAAACTCATGGCAAAGCGAAGCCACCAACCCCCCCAGAGCGGGACCGGGCGCGCCGGGGTGCAGGGGCCGGGGGCGGCGGGGGGGCGGGATGGGGGCAGACCCGGGGAGGCGGCGGGAGCGGAGGGTCGGGGGGAGGCTGGGAGGAGGAGAAGGAGGGGGCCGGGGCCGGTCACACACGCCCGCCGCCGCCGCCGCCGCCGCCGCCGCCGCCGCCGGCAGCAGCAGCCGCCCCGCGGGCCAGCACCACCGGCTGCCGGTCTCCGTGACAACGCGACCCCAGGGGGGGGGCCGGACCCGGCGGGGGCAGGAGGCGGAGAGACCGGACCTTTCACGGCAATATCCTCATGGGCCGGCGGCGGGGGGTCTTTATCCCCCTCCCTGGGGGAAGCGGCGCCCTTCTCGGTAGCGGGGCTCAAGCGATGCCGGCGGATTTTCTTCACTCAACGAGCAGAGCATCCAACATGGCGCTACGGCCGCCTCCAGCAGTCCGGCAGGACGGCCGCTCGGCAAACTTCGGGCCTTTTCGGAGCGGCTCGGTAGGCCGAGGGTGGGAAGGCCCTTCGGCTCTTTCCGGAGACTATTTGCGGTCGGGATTCTTCGTAAACACTCGGCGTCTTCGGCTGCCGTTCGGGAGCGCTCTGGGGTTGACTCGCTTCCTCGGGAAAGATCGGCGAGGAGGGCTTCCGAGGCTCGCTGCGGCGGGTGTGCAGGGCGGAGAGAGAGACCAAAGGCGAGGTCTCGTCTGCGAGAGTCCTCTCCTGCCGCCCAGCCTCGAAGAACAATGGTAACGGCCCTGGAGCCTGCGGTCCGCAGAGCCCTGCCCGCGGGGGCGGGAGCGGTGGAGCCAGAAACCTGTTAAGGTGGAAGGAACCGCCTGATCAGAGTGAAACCGCTGGGTAGGAACCTGCCGCGTGCGCCTATTAGCATAGCAAATAGCTGTCGCTGGCCCTTAACTACGCAGTTCACGTCCATTGTGTCGACATTTCGCCCTGGTATACATTCCGAGAGGTGAGTGGAATGAGGAGCCCCATTTCCCCTGCACACTGAGGCCGGGAGAGGAAAAGTGACTGGCCCAAGGTCACCCAGCCAGGAAAGGACAGCCAAGCCTGGATCTCAATTCCTCTTTCATCCAGATGAACCTTGCCACCTCACAAATTATCTGGCCTTATCTAATCAGAAGCCTTGACTACGGGTTCTGTGAATGGATTCTTCAAAGCCTGCCCCAAGACAGCAGCATCCTGTGACCAGAAGCCAGTGGTCAGCTCCCCAGTGTCCTATGGCAGGATAACATTTGTTGACAAGCTCCTTTTCTCCCCAGCTAGACCAACCAAGACCACCCCCAACCCCTCCCCGCACACTCCTCGCCGGCAGGGGCCTTGTCCTAGGCACAGGAGCATTGAGTGGAAAGGAACCTCAGGGACCGCAGAGCAAGCAGTAATAGCGGTCACCAGGCACTGAGCACTTCATATTTATTATCTCTCACAGTCCTGTGAAATAGGTAGTACCCATTTTACAAATGAAGACACTGAAGCTCGGAGAGGCTCAAAAATATCAATCACACAAGAGCTCAGACAAGAGACTTTACCAGAATCACATGGAAAGTGTAGATGGCAGAGACCAAGTTAGAGTCCATTTCTGGCACTTTCTATACTGTTTAACACTGCCTTCCTTTTTGTTTTTTAGTTCAAATAAAACTCTACACATAGTGGGTGCTTAATTAATTAATTCTCTCCCAATTAAGCCCCAAACGCTTCCTCCTGGAGAAAGGAGCATCTAGAGTAGAGTGATGCCACAAACCCCGCCACCACTGCCACATCTTTCTGGCGAGGGTTCCACAAGGAAGCCTAATCCCCCTTCTCCAGCCTGGAATACAAGAGCTACTTCACACTCTGGAATCCTAAACCGTTTGGATTTGTAACACCTGATTACCTACGATTGGATTTGCTGCTCTGACTGGCTCCAGGAAAAATTCCCAAGTGGTCCTTTACTTCCCAGGATTCTCCTCCCCTGTTCCCAGACCTCAAGCTTCCTTATCCCAATCAAAACCTGTTCCTGGGAAAGAATTTGGCTTCTCATTTACTCTTGGGTGATAGACTAACAATTGCTCAATTGTTATTCTTTTCTGAGCTAGTTTCATTTTCTAACTTAATAATATGTGCAAGCATCTAGTGATTACTGTGTGCCTGGTCTTTGCTAAGCACTTCATGAGCATTATCTCTCGTAAAATCTCTCTTAAAATGGATAGATCTTGAGTAAAATAACATCAAAGTCCCTACTTATATTCTGGTCTCAAGGAATCAATGCAGGGAGGCTTAGTAGAGGGCAGAGTGAGAAAGGTAGGGCGCTCTCCTTGCACAGCCCTGCCCAGCACCTCCCCTGCCCAGCACCTCCCCCTCCCACAGAGCAGTTCATATTTATTACACGCCTACTATGTGCCAGGGTACAACTCTACTAAACTTTTTGTTTAGATTAATTTGTTCCCGTCAACAACTCTTTAAGGCATTGTTATATACCATTCACAAATAAATAAACTGAGGCCCAATGATGTGAAGAAGTGACTTGTATAACTTAAGTGGAAAAGTGGTACCCACACCCTAAGGCATCTGACTCCAGGTCTGATTTGATACATTGCCTTCAAAACAGCAACCTCCCTACTGTGGCCAGAGGCACAGTTAACAAGCAAAACTAATTTTGTGTTTGCCTGCTGAGAGCTTTCCCGATGCCATCAGGACCCAGTCTAAATTCAAGATACTTCAGGATCTGAACACTACTCCATCCTGCCACCCTTCACCTCAGATCCAGACCTGCAGCCACCTTGGTCTTTCTCGTTCTAGGACCTGTAGGCAGACTGTCCTGCTTCTTTATAACTCAAAACCAGCCTCTTCCCTTAGCCCACTGGCTAATTCCTGCTCCTGCTTCAAAGCTTAGTTCAGGCCTCACCTCCTCCAGGCAGCCCTCCCTCACTCCCTAGGCTGAGCTAGGCTCCCTGGGCAGTGGATGCTTCCCTCTCAGTGCACTCTCAGTAGTGAACAATAAGAGCATAACCATTGGAATCAAATTACCTGAGTTTGATTCTCAGGCCTGCCATTTATTAGTTGTATGACCTTGGAGAAATCAACTCTTAGGCCTCAGTTTCCTTATCTGTAAAATGGAGCGTCTACTTTCTATCATAAGAAATAAGACAACAAATGCAGCCCTGGCTGGTGTGGCTCAGCTGGTTGAGCGTCATCCCATACTCCAAAAGGTCACCAGTTTGGCCCGGCCAGTGTGGCTCAGTGGTTGAGTGCCGACCCATGCACCAAGAGGTTGCTGGTTCAATTCCAGGTCAGGCACATGCCCAGGTTGTGGGCCCAATCCCCAGTGGGGGGCATGCAGGAGGCAGCCAATCTATGTTCTCTCTCATCGATGTTTCTATCTCTCTCTCCCTCTCCCTTCCTCTCTCTCTAAAATCAATAAAGAAAAATAATTTTTTTTTAAAGAAAGATCACCGGTTTGATTCCTGGTCAGGGTATATGTCCAGATGGTGGGCTTGATCCCCAGTAGGGAGCATATAAGGGGAATGCAGGACACAGCCGATCAATGTTTCTCTCTCTCTCTCTTTCCCTCTCCCTAAAATCAATAAAAACATTTTTTTCTTTATTGATTTTTAGAGAGAGAAGAAGAGAGATAGAAACATCAATGACAGAGAACATTGATTGGCTGCCTCCTGCATGCCCCACACCAGGGATTGGGCCCACAACCTGGGCATGTGCCCTGACCAGGAATCAAAGCGGAGACCTCTTGGTGCATGGGTCGATGTTCAACAACTGAGCCACACTGGCCAGACAAAAACATATATATATATTTTTAAAAGACAATAAGCCCTGGCTGGTTTGACTTAGCAGTAGAGCGTCAGCCCACAGACCAATGAGTCGGGTTCAATTCTGACCAATTGCAGTTCGTCCCAAGCCCTGGTAGGGTCATGCGGAGACAACCAGTGGATGTGTCCCTCTCACATCGATGTTTCTTCCTCTCCCTTTCTCCCCCTCCCACTCTATCTGAAGATAAATAGAAAAATATCCTCGGGTGAGGATTAAATAAATAAATAAAAAGACAATAAATACAAAGCCCTTAGCCCAGTCCTTGACTCATAGTAATTCCTGGATACAATTTTAGCTATTATTACTATTACTATTATTATTCATTTACATGGGAATATTGTCATTTAAAATATCCCTGATACTGCCCTAGCCAGTTTGGCTCAGCAGTTAGAGTGTTGGCTCAAGGACCAAATAGTCACAGGTTCAATTCCACGTACCTCGGTTGTGGTTGGGTCCCTGGCCCTGGTCGGGTTCTTGCAGGAGGCAGCCAATCAATGTGTGTGTCTCTCTCCCTCCCTCCCTCCCACTCTCTGAAGATAAATGGAAAACTGTCCTCAGGTGAGGATTTAAAATGTGTGTGTGTGTGTGTGTGTGTGTGTGTGTGTGTGTGTATATATATATATATACCCCTGATGTGCCCTGGCCAGGTGGCTCAGTTGGTTGGAGGATCATCCCATACACCAAAAGGTTGTGGATTCAATTCCCAGTTAGGGCACATACCTAGGTTGTGGGTTGATCCCTGGTAGGGATGCATACAGGAAATGGCTGATCGATGTTTCTCACATCAATGTTTCTCTCTCTTTGTCTCTCTCAAATCAATATAAACATATTCTTGGGTAAGGATTAAAATAATAATATAATAAAATGTCCCTGATATCTAGCTCATAATAAATAGGGTGTGAAACTTGCTGAAGAACAGAATAATTGAATTACTAAAGGATTTCATGTTATCCTGGAGAAGTCTCAAGTACCACAGAGCCCAAGCCAGGTCTCACTGTGCAGGAAGCTAGAAGGGCAAGAGTATCCTGGAACAGGCAGTATTGCCCTCAGAGGAGGGTAGTATCTGACCAGCCATCCACTGTTCCCAGAGCCCACCACCCTGCCTCCAGCAGAGACTGTAACGGACCCCCCAGCCCCAGAATAAATGT